AGTGTTGGGACATCAGCCAGCATGCTTTTACGTTTACAGTAAAACATGCTTTGACGTTTACAGCAGCTATTAACGCATCACCCAAGCGGTGCTCTACCCTGCTGTGCTAAGCCTTCATCCTTAGTTGACTAATGCTACCCCAACTCTGTACTTACTACACTTAGGTTTACTGATCTAGGGTAAATTTTCATTTGTTCTTATCTCCTCATTGTCTCTTAACATTGTATCCTTGCTAACTGTATTAAATAGTCCAGAAATAAAGAGGTCATTTTTATTCCAGTTTCTGATTTTCTCAGTATTGACTTTATTTCCACCTATCATGTGAGTCAGTAGAGACCCTGGCTATAAACATTTCCTGAGTGAATCCCTTCTCAGTCTATTTGTATATGATGATTCTTCTTCCTGAAATGCTCTTTCTTCCCCTTCTCCATCTAGACGATGTCCTAAGAGTCTTTCAGAACTCAACAGCAGTAGCATCTCCTTCTGGAAGGCTTCTGTTTTTAAGAGACCTATATTAAATTTCCTACCTCTGTGTTCTTTTGTTTGTTTCGGGAGTACAACATAATAATTCAGTATTTGTATATATTGCAAAATGATTGTCACACTAAGTCTGATTCACATACACAGTTCAAATTTTTTGTGTGTGATGAGAACTTTGAAGATCTGTTTACTGCCTTAGCAATTTTCAAATATACAGTACAGTGTTAATTATAGTCATCATGCTATAGATTATGTCCCCATGATTTGTTCATTTTACACAGAAGTGTGTACCCATTTTGCCCACCCTCCCCACGCCACTGCCTCTGGCAACCACCAATCTGTTCTGTGTATCTGTGAGTTTGGGATTTTTGTTTTTGTTTTTTTTTTTTAGATTCCACAAAAACTGAGCTATTTATTTTTATTTACTGAAGCATAATTTAGATACCGTGTTCTATTAGTTTCAGGTACACAACATATTGCTTCAGTTCTATACATTACTCAGTGCTCACCATGATAAATAGTCACTGTGTGTCACCAGACAATGTTATTACAGTATTATTGACTGTATTTTTCATCCCCATGACTTATCTGTTTTATAACTGGAAGTTTGTACCTCTTAATCCCATGTATTTTGCCTGTCCCCTCACCCACCTCCCCTCTGGCAACCACCAGTTTGTTCTCGGTATTTAAGTATATTTTTTTCTTTGGTTTTTTAGATTCCACATATAAGTGAAATCATGTGGTATTTGTCTTTCTTTGTCAGACTTCTTTCACTTAGCCTAATACCCTCTAGGTCCACCCATGTTGTCACAGATGACAAGATCTCACTTTTTTTTATGGCTGGCTAATATTCCAGTGTGTGTATACATCACATCTTCTTGATCCACTCATCTGTTGATGAACACTTGGGCTGCTTCCATATCTTGGCCATTGTAAATAGTGGTACGATAGACATAGGGGTGCATATGTCTTATCAAATTAGTGTTTTTATTTCCTTTGGGTAAGTGCCCAATAGTGGTATTACTGGATTATATGATTGTTCAGTTTTAATCTTTTGAGGAACCTCCATGCTGTTTTTCACAGTGGTTGCACCAATATGTTTTTCCACCAACAGTGCATGAGGGATCCCTTTTCTCCACATCCTACCAACAACACTTTTTATTTCTTGTCTTTTTGATACTAGCCATTCTGACAGGTGCGAGGTGGTATCTCATTGCATTTTTCAATTGCATTTCCCTGACAATGAGTGACGTTGAGCATCTTTTCACGTGTCTTTTGGCCATCTGTGTGTCTTGTTTGGAATAATGTCTGTTCATGTCCTCTGCCTATTTTTTAATTGGAATATTTGTTTCTTGGTGTGGAGTTGTCCATGTTCTTTATCTATTTTGGATATTAATCCCTTATTAGATACATCTTTTGAAAATATCTTCTCCCATTCAGTAGGTTGTCTTTTCGTTTTGTTGATGGTTTCTTTTGCTGTACGAAAGCTTTTTATTTTGGTGCAGTCCAAAGTTTACTTTCACTTTTGTTTCCCTTGCCTGAGGAGACATCCGTGAATATATTGCTAACGGCAGTGTCCAGGAAATTACCTCCTATGTTTTCTTTTAGAAGTTTTATGGCTTCAGGTCTCACATTTAGGTCTTTAATCCATTTTAATTTTGAGTATGGTGGTAAGAATGTGGTTCACTTTTACTCTCTTGCCTGTAGCTCTCCATTTTTCCCAGCAGCATTTATTGAAAAGACTGTCTTCCCGTTGTGTGTATTCTTGCTTTCATTGTCATAGATTAATTGACCATATAGGTTTGGGTCTATTTCTGGGTTCTTTTCTTTTCCATTGATCTGTGTGTCTGTTTTCATGCCAGTACCATACTGTTTTGATTACTACAGCTTCGTGGTATATCTTGAAATTTGGACCTGTGATACCTCTAGCTTTGTTCGTTCTCAGGATTGCTTTGGCCATTTGAGGTCTTCTGTGGTTCCATTCAAATTTTAATACTTAATTATTCTATTTCCATGAAAAACATGGTTGGTATTTTGATAATGACTGCATTGAATCTGTAGATTGTTCTGGTAGTATGGACATTTTAACAATATTAATTCCTAATCCATGAGCATGGTATATCTTTAGATTTGTTTCTGTTATCTTCAGTTTTTTTCATCAGTGTCTTCTAGTTTTCAGAGTACAGATCTTTAACATCCTTGGTTAAATTTATTTCTAGATATTTTATTCTTTTTGATGCAGTTGTAAATGGGATTGTTTAAATTTATTCTTTTACTTCATTATTAGTGTATAGAAATGCAACAGATTCCTGTACATTAATTTGTATCTTACAAATTTATTGGATTTATTTATTTGTTTTAATGATTTTTGATGGGAGTCTTTTAGGGTTTTCTATTTCAGTTATCTGCAAATAGTGACACTTTTCCTTCTTCCTTACCAACTTGGATTCCTTTTACTTCTTTTCTTGTCTTATTCCTGCACCTATGACCTCCCAATACCATGTTGAATAAATGTAAGAGTGCACATCCTTGTCTCGTTCCTGATCTTAGAGCAAAAACTTTCGGTTTTTCACTGTCAAGTATGATGTTAGCTCCTGGTGGGTTTTTCAAATATTGCCCTTATTATGTTGAGGTATGGGCCCTCTAAACCCATGTTGTTGAGAGTTTTTTTCATCATGAATGTATGTTGTATTTTGTCAAATGCTTTTTTGGCATCTATTGAGATGATCATATGGTTTTTACTTTTCTACTTACTAATGTGATATATCAATTGCTTTGCAAATATTGAACCACCTTTGCATCTCTGGGATAAACCCCACACGATTGTAGTGAATAATCCTTTTAATGTATTGTTGAATCTAGTTTGCTAATATTTGGTTGGATTTTTGCATCTATGTTCATCAGAGCTATTGGCCTGTAGTTTTTGTTTGTTTTGTCATGTTTTTGTAGTGCCTTGTCTGGTTTTATTATCAGGGTATTGGTGTAGAATGCCCTTTCTTATTCATTTTTTTCACTCTCTGCTCTCTCTTCATTATCTTCCCCTCTGCTTTCTTTTATTTCTGGTCTTCTACTGTGACTTAGTTTCTGCAACATTGTAGAACGAATACAAGCTTTGTGACCTTTAGAGTTTTCTTAGACCTCCAGATGTTGGAAAATGGAGTTTGGACTGTAGCAAACAGACCGAAAACCTTTAAACATGTGTGGGTGGATGTGGCAATGAGAGGAAGATTTCACTGGTATTTGTTATGAAGGTGGATATATCAGTGAGATTAACATTCTTTGCTCAAGAATGAGAGGCCTCAGGACAGATCTTCTCTGTTCTAATGGCAACACAAATCTTAACTCTGTCACACTGAAATGTGAGGTTAGCGACCTTTTCAAGACTGGAGGTCTCCTGAGATATCCTTCATGGAAACCAAAACACTCTAAACATTTCCAATCTTGGTTTAGCCCAGATACCTTTTATGGAGATACTATGATATAATAAAGGTCCTAATACATGACCAGCAGGTGTAGGTGCTAACAGATGTTGTCATTAAATCTTCTTCCACTCTCTCGAGCTTCCTAAAGTCCGCAAATACCTAAGTTTCCTTGAAATTTTCTCAGGATCAAAGTGACAAGTAAGAAATAGGTCTAAATGGTAGAGGCTGATCACCAAACCTGCAGATCTTCTTTTCAAATGCCAGCAAGTTAATTCTCTTCTTTGGCACTTACGCTTTCTTTGCAAATGAGATGCTTTGACTGCACTCCAGTGGCTGATTATACAGAATGTTCTAGATGAACATCCTGAGAGATGACGCTCACCTCACCAATCCACCAGCCCCAAATCATCATCAAAGATCCCTTTCCCACGAACACTGGGCAAATTTGTCTTTTCTTCCCTTTGCTTGAGGAGGTGCACTAGACCATTGTAGGCAAGGTTAGGGAACACCGTCACAGGTATTTTGAGCAACATAATAGCACACCAGAATGACCAGGAGCTAAATCCAGAGCCTGTAGCCAGTTTAGCAACCATAAGGTTCTTAGCAGAAATTCTCCTATCCTGAATCCAGTTAAAGTGGCAGTAATCACCTGATGTACCCTAGAGATGCTGTTTATTGTAATATTAAATATATATTCATGTATAAGAAAGGTTTTGAAAACGAACAAAATATAAAGGTTTTTAGATTATGGAAAAAATAGCTATAGTGCTTCATTGCCTTATTTGAAAAATAAGTCCCCTTTAAAGCTTTAGATTGAACTTCGTGAAATACAGTTCAGCTGAATTTTTATTTAACAATTACATTATATCCTGCAGGTGTAGACCCTCCCTGTTGCTTGCACGTGACTCCTGTTAATTGCAACAATAGAAGTTGCTTATGGAAAAGCTTCTGCCTCTAAGCATTTTAGAGGGAAATGGAATTAAGGTCAATAATCCTTCAGTGTTTAAAAATGTACCAAGCCTGTTTTTCAGGACTGCCTCTTTCCTTTCCTTAGGCAACAGAATTTTTTCCTTCTAAATCTACACAAGCTTGTGAAGGATGGGGCTGCGTTTAACTGGTCCCCTTCCCGTAAGTGTTTGCAGCCGAAAGTCCTTGAAGCTAGGACTTGGAGATTCTGGCAACTACATGTCTGTTTTGAATTTCCCAAAAAACCGAGTTAAATAATGTTTTCTTTTATCTTTTCAGGAGCATCTAAAGGCTTTTGATGATGAAATCAATGCTTTTTTGGACAATATGTTTGGACCTCGAGGTGAGTAAGCTACTTGAGAATTTCACGTGGAAGGAAACTATTTAGTTGCAGAAGAGGGTTTTGTCATTTCTGGTGTTTTTTCTTTTTCTTTTTTAATGTTTCTTTATTTTTGAGAGAGAGACATACACACAGAATCCAAAGCGGGCTCCAGGCTCTGAGCGGTCAGCAAAAAGCCTGATGCGGGGCTCGAACTCACAGACTGGGAGATCATGACCTGAACCAAAGTCGGACACTTAACCGACTAAGCCACCCAGGCACCCCTCTGGTACCTTGAGGACAGTATGGTACTTAACATTTAGAGATCTAACTTCCCTCCCCTTTGATATCCTTCTCCAGAACATCTAGAAAGCCTCAGTGCACCCGCTCAACCTTCCTGGGATTAAAGTTCCAGGAGCCACAAGCAGGGACAGAATGCAGCGAAGCCCTTCCCGTCGTGTCTCTCGGGCCACCAGAGCAGGCCGGAGCCACCTGCTAACCGGGACTACTTTCTCTCCTGGCGCCACCGCCCACACACCTTCCACCTTCCTCACCCGCGCAGTCACCTCCCCTCTTTCCGCCCTCGTGTGTCTGGGGGGGTGAGCTCGCTCCGCCCGTGCTGTGGGCTGGAGCCCCTGCGCGCCCCCTTTTGTGTGTCACCCGTCACTTAGACTCACTGCAGCGTGCCGTCCCCCTGCAGCGCTTCTTACGCTTCCCTGGGCATCTTAGTCACCCTGCATAGCTCGCAAACAAGTGGATGTTTTCCAAACAACGTGTTTCGTTTCACTTAGGCCTCGCTGGTTCACAAACCGTGGCGAATCTGTGCCTCTCTCCGGGTTCTTTCCTCAGCACTGTTGGGTTAGGGAAATGGAGGGAAATGAGGTTTTCCTGTCTCTCAAAAACCTCTAAACAGCATCGTTTAGAGACTACTTAGACCACTCCAGTCTCTGCCTAGGCTTTATAAATGTCTGATGAACGACTGTTTGTATGATTTTAATATAATGGTGCTGTGTGATTATTAGAGCTTTAAAAATATTTTCAGTCGCCTCCCCCCCGGCCCCCCCCACCACCATTTGTCCTCGTGGTGACCCCGTGGGGTAGGCAAGGCAGGATCTGTGTATCGCATAAGCTCCCTTATTGAATATGTTCTCTGCCTCACAGTTCTTGTGGGTGCAGAGGAGGACGGTTCACGTAGAGGGCACGCAGGGTTTCTTGGCAACTGTGGCTTCTATTGGACACTTGCACCAGAGCGTGGAACAACAGTGTCTCTGTTCACACCGAGCTGTGCCTTTGCTAAGATTGCTGTGATCTGGAACTATGTGGCTAGGGGTCCACGTACGGAGAGGATTGCAGTTTGTTTACTCAGCTCTGGTCATGTTTATGGAAGGTTCTTTGTGGCGAGGAGATGGGAAGATTGACAGTTGACAACTGGGTCGGGTGACCTCCACGGTGACAGGGAATCTAGCATCTGGGCCGTCCAGCATCCCTTTCCCTTTCCCAAAAGTGGCACAAGCTTAAGTTGACTGGCAGGCCACCTAGCAGACTTCCCGGGTGTCCCCAAGTCTCTTCTGTAATCACCTTTTCCACGTTGGCATCAGGGGATCTTGTCCTGGGCAGATACCTGATGCAGATGCAGTTAACCATTAACGTCCCAAAGGTAGGATAAATCTTACTGCAAGTATTTGTTCCTCTCTCTGGGCTGGGACAGTTAACTCTCCTCCTTGACAAAAGCGGCAAGCATTTACAGGACCATGACAAAAGAAAACGAACCACTGGAGGTGCTGTATTTTGTACTGGGCTCATCCTGCCGGTTGGCCTAGATTGCATGACTCAGAACTCAGTGGAGGTATGGGTGAGACACGGTGGGAGCGTAAGACCTGGGGTCTGTCTCTAGGCGGGAGGTCAGACTGCCACCTCGACGGTAATTGCAAAGCAGTGAAGCAGACCACGTGTGTTGGTTTGCCGGGGCTGTAGTAACCACGTGCCACAAACCACGTGGCTTAAAGCAACAGTGGTTGATTCTCTCACGGTCCGGAGGCTACAGGTCTGACATCAAGGAGCTGGCAGGGCAGTGCTCCCTCTGAGTTTCTAGGGAAGAGTGCTCCCTGCCTTTCTCCCAGCTTCTGGCGTTGCCGGCAATCTCTGGCATTGCTTGGCTCGGAGATGTATCTCCCTGTTCTCTGCCTCCATTTGCACGTGGCTTCTCCTCTTCGCGTCCCTGTGTCCACATCTCCGCTTGTAATATAGGACACCGGTCACAGCAAGGGCCCACCTAGTCCAGTACGACATCTTCTTAACTGGGTCAGACCTGTGAAGACCTTATGTCCAAGTAAGGTCACAGTCACACGGGTATCAGGAGTTCGGACTTAACCATATCTTTTGGGGGACACCGTTCAATCCATAACACCGTAACAAGAGGTGGGGTAGCAGTTTAGTGCAAATATTTAACTGTTTCACTCTCTGTGGGTCAATTGTTCTCAAACATAAACTGGCAATAATTACATCACCTATGTGGTGGATGCATCTGTTACCTGCACTGTGGTGATGGCATCGTGGGAGTTTGCATAAGTCCAAACCCATCAAATTATGCACATTAAATATGTACAGGTTTATCAGTTATACCTCAAAACTATTTGAGATATCAACTATATAATTAGATTACTTTGGGAATTAAGTTAATACATGTAAAAAGCTTTATTAGGACAGTGCCTGGCACAGACTAAGTGTTCAGTAAATATAAATTGTGATAACAGTGTTCCAGCCATAATAACACATTAATTATAAAATTATAATTACATTGTTACGCAGGTGGAGAGCTGTGGTAGGAAAGGGTAAGAAGAAGCAGCTCCCTTCCGACAGCAGGACATTTATCTGGTTTTTAGAGGATGCGTAGGATGTATTTTATTTTATTATTATCTTTTTTTTTTAATTTTAGAGAGAGAGTACGAGTGGGGGAGAGGGGCAGAGGGGGAGAGAGAGAATCTTCAGCAGGCTCAGCACTGAGCCCAACACGGGGCTCGATCCCACAACCCTGGGATCATGACCTGAACCAAAATCAAGAGTCAACTTACTCTTGAATCAAGGTTCAACTTACTGAGCCACCCAGGCGCCCCATGGGTGCATAGGATTTGGATTCAGAGGTGAACATTAGGAAGTGGCACATGGGACAGACTTTTCCGACCAGTGATTTCCTGCAGGTTGTGTGAAGGTAGGTCTCTGCTAGTCACACGAATGCTGAGGTGGGCCCCTCACCTGCCGTGTTCTCTCCATCACAACTGGAGGAGTTTACAACAGAACAGGTGATGGGACAGAGCCTGAGAAGGCACTTTCCTCTGTGCTGTCCGTCAGGTGGGGTGGAGTAAGGGGGGCTGGCGTGCGAGGGGTAGAGTAGAGCAGAAGGAGGGGCGGAGGCCTGGGGAGAGCAGAGAGAGGGAGGAAAGGGCTGGAGAAACCAGCTCCTTCCAACCGCATTTACAGAGATTAAAAACAACGTGCCAGTTTTTATCATTGTGGGCCAAATTATTTGCTTTATTGAAACAACAAAAAAGAGTAGAACAGAGAACTAAAATCACTTTGTGCCTACCGTTCTATTCAGATGTTAACTAATTATCTTACAGATCTATTATGTGTGTTTTATGTAGATTTTTACGTTTTCACCCTCCAGAGCAAGGAACACTTGCTGTATCTTGGTTCTTGCCTCCTAGCTATTGATACTTCTAGTCCATGGTCAGGTTTCAGTCCTCGGTTATATTTTCTGCCCTCACCTCTGAATCATCAGCCCCCAAGGCTTTGCCTTCTTCAGCTTCCCGTGGTTGTTGGGTTCAGTCCCACGGCTCTGGCTCAGCTGAGCTCTAAACTCTGCCTGGTTTACCGCACGGTGGTCCTCACCGAGCTGCAGGGTGTGGGGTGTGTGAACCAGTATACGCTGTCGATACCCCTTCTCTCCTGCCTACTCCAGACTCCACGGAGGAAGGCAGCACCGGGTGGAACGTGCTGGGCAGCAGAGGTGAATTCAGATCCTGACGCTGCTGTCCCCTGCTGTGTGGCCTCGGCAGGTTACTGTAGCTTTCTGAGCTGTTTTTCATCCACAGAATGGCATGATGGCACGTCCTGTTTACAGAGTTAGAATAAATAAACATAGTAACCGTTCCGGAGAAGACGCTAGAACTCTTACCGCCCGCCTTGATCACCTGTCCCCGTCACTCAGGGTTCAGCCTAAGCCCTGTTTGCTCCGTGAGATCTTCCTTAACTCCTCCCACCCCAGGGGTTTCTTCTTCAGAACTGTAACTCCAGTCCTGTTTATCGCGGCTTATTACTCGGGTTCTTGTGGGTTCTTGTCGTATTGTTATTTGTTGTATCCAGTGTGGAACATACAATATATGTGACAGGAGGTCTTAAAAGTTCTCATGACAAGAAAAATTTTTGTAACTATGTAAGGTGATGGATATTAAGTACACTTATTGCGGTGATGATCTTGTAGGGTGTGCAAATATTGAATCGTGTTGTGCTCCTGAAACTCATGTTCTACCTCAGTAAAAAACAAAAGGCCAAACAAAAAAAAAACCCAAAACTTTTTAAATACATGTGATAATATTTTAAAACTAAACAGAAGCACCCCCCTTTAGGATTCTCACTGTATTTGTTTCCTTTCAGATTCTCGAGTCAGAGGATGGTTCATGTTGGACTCTTACCTTCCTACCTTTTTTCTTACTGTCCTGTATCTGCTTTCAATATGGCTGGGTAACAAATACATGAAGAACAGACATGCTCTCTCCCTCAGGGGTATCCTCACCTTGTATAATCTCGGAATCACACTTCTCTCCGTATATATGCTGGCAGAGGTAAGTGTCTATGTAGGAACGCTGGAGTCTGGTAAGTGAGCGTCTCTGAGAAGTAAATCTGGCCTTCCAGAACTATCCAGCGCTGCTCTCAGTACCGTTCCTCAAGATCTCAGGAGCTGTTCCAGCGTCTGATACTGTTTCGTCAGAAAATCTTGGGGAAATCTTTGTTTCTGAGAATTTTTCTCATCCCAATTTAGGCCTGTTTCTTTCTTTAAAAAAAAATTTTTTTTTAATGTTTATTTATTTTTGAGAGAGAGAGCGTAAGCAGGGGGGAGGCATAGAGAGAGGGAGACACAGAATCTGAAGCAGGCTTCAGGATCCTAGCTGTCAGCACAGAGCCCATCGTGGGGCTCAAACCCACATACCGTGAGATGGTGACCTGAGCCAAAGTCACTTAACCAACTGAGCCACCGAGGCGCCCCTAGGCCTATTTCTTGAATCCTTAGTCTTTCACTATAATTCAAAGTCACAATTTAGATCTGAATGGGCCTTTAAAGCTCATATGTGCCAGTTTTCACCTTTTACAGATGATGATACTGAGGCCTGGAAAAGTTACATGACTTGCCTGAGAATAGACGGCTCTTGAGGACAGAGCAGTTTTTAAGTTAAAAATCAAATGCAGTTAGTTGGAAATACAGACACACAGTCCCTTAAAGACTACTCCCTCCATCTTTGGTCCCCCGTGACGGGGGCATCGCGGTTTCTGAGGACTGACTTCGGAGTCCCAGGCTGAGATTCCAGCCCCGCTCCTGCTGCCCTCATTACATCATGCATCGCCCGTTCCTTTGTAACGTGCCAAACCCAAGTCATTTTACAAGAAAGGGAACAAGTAACAATTGCGCTTTCTGTACAACCCAAAGCCTGCTTCACTCTGCCTGCCACAAAGGAAAATCAACAAGTGCCAAATAAACCTGCTCCAGCAAGCAGAGGGAAAACAAAAACAAGACAAAACCTTTCTTAGGGAACAGGATAAAATCATTCATGTCAGTTACAAATGGCTGACAATGGCACAAGTATAGTTGCCTTCCTGGTCCTTGAATTCTAAAAGAAGATAAATCCTCATGTAAAATATAGATCCTCTCGGCCACAGAGTTCAATCTGTGCATTGCTCTGCTGTGCACCATTCTGAAGATGCTTAATAACCATTACTTAACATGACTTACAACACTGATGCCCACAGTTCCGTGATCTGATTGCAGATGGAATTCAGGGTCTAGAAAGCCCCCCCTATAGTCCTGTCGCATCAGTGATCCTAATTTACCTGACTCTGGAAGGGGAATTTTTATGTAGGTTTTCAACGAGGTAAATCTTAGTTCACTAGAGGAGCTTGCGAGACAGTGATTGACAGGGTTAGTTTCTTGGGGAAGAAACAAAGGGAAAGATATTCTTCCTTAGATTGTTTTCAGAAGCAGCACCTGTGTCAGAAGGGCAGCCGAATGTCTGACCACACCGGAAGCCCGAATACCAGCTGGAGACTTTGGAGTAGTGGAGTCAGCAGATGCGAATGCAGGTGTCACTGTCTGTAACTCTGGGGCAGTTAATTAGGCTCTCTGACCCTTACACGACTTGTCTTTAAAATGGAAATATGGGGGGCGCCTCAGTGGCTCAGTCAGTTAAGTGTCCAGTCATGATCTCGCAGTTCGTGAGTTCAAGCTCCGCATCAGGTTCTGTGCTGACAGCTCAGAGCCTGGAGCCTGCTTCGGATTCTGTGTCTCCCTCTCTCTGCTCCTACCGCACTTGCACTCATGTTCTCTGTCTCAAAAATAAACATTAAAAAAATAGAGGTCAAATGGAGATTTGGTCCTCGTTCTACTTAACTCATGAGTCTGCTAGTAGGATTAGTCAGTTCTGTTCAGTCAACATTCTGTGAGCATCCACTAGGTGCTGTGAATTGTATACTCAGCCAAGGAGATATTAAGATGGGTAACATGTGATTTTTGTACTTGAAAAGCTCATAGACCAGTATACAGCAGGAGTTCATGAATGTGAAAAACTGTGTAAATATTAAGGTGAATATTATTCACCATTAACAGGAATAAGAACAGTAGTGTTTGGACAAGTAAATGGCTTCGACCCGTTTTTAGGGAGAACGTCGGTACTTAGTCCCTTCCCTACAAGAATGTTATCCATTGCTTGTCCACTGTGCTCTTCTCACACTCCTATAGCTCTTGGTTCAAAATTACCGCTGTTGATTGCCTCCTGCTGTCCTCTGATTGTAGCCTCTTCAGGGCAGGCATACGGTCTTAGACACTTTTGGGGTATGTGTAACAGCCACTAGTTGATGGGTTGATTGAACCTTGCTAACTTGTTAAGCCCAGTTCAGATGTTTGCTTGGGCCAGGAAGGTACTGCTAAAATTACTTAGAGTCTTTCAACAAATACGTATGGAGTTTCTACAGTGTGTCAGATTCTATTCTAGGCTCTACAACCCCGCCTTTCCCCTTGCAACGCTGACCAGTGGTGGGCTGGTGGGGGGGCAGGAAGACCTCTGATATTTGAGCAGAAATCAAGCATATGAAGATCTGAAGGAACTGTGTTCGTGCAGAACAAGCAGCAAACGTAAAGGCCTTGGGGCAGGAACAAGCTTGGGATGTTCAAAGACCACAAAAAAGAAACAGTGCAGCTAGACCTCCGTGGTCAGAGGAGGGGATGGTTCATGACAAGGCAGAGCGGTGGCAGAACATAGAGGGCCTTGTAAAGAGTTTGGCTTCTATTCTGAGTATCGTGGCAGGCCACTGGGGGATTTTAACGAGGGGAGTGATCGATCTTCCATCTCGGATACATGGCTGCGTCCGCTACATGGAAAATGAACTGGGACAGTGAGCTGGGGGCAAGAGCGGAAGCAGAGTCCAGGAGACGGTTGGAGCGCTGTTGTCACAGATGCCGGTGGCCTGGACTGAGGAGTTGGAAATGGGGAGAAGCAGAGGGATCCTAGACCTCTTTTGGAGCAAGCTAGGCTCCACCTCCTAAGGCTAACCCTGTCCAACAGCCTGGTTTCCTTTGCTTCAACACCCAGGATGGATGGCTCCCGTCTGCCAAGCCCCCCAGGGGATAAGCAATGGACCTGTGCAAGGCACAGAGTCTTTCATAGAGCGGCTGCTTAATTCTATTTAGGTTTTAAATTGTCAGACAGTTTTAAACAATCTGAATGGGTTTTTTTAGTAGTTTGATGGCTTTCAGTGTTCGATTTTAACATCCTATCACTCCCCCTGTGTATTTCTCTGCAGGGTGTATCTTTACACATCTCTGATAAGCAGCCACAAATAGTAGGCCTTTGCATACCTTATGTAACACGTTAACTAGACTCCTCATGGTGATCATTTAACAATATACACAAATATCAAATATGCAGAAGTCCTTGGCAAACTTGTCAGGAGCATAGGTTTCTTTTTATATCCAGAGATAGTTTTCATTCAGCAATTGTAAACGACTGCCTACTATTGCTGAAGTTGGAAAGGTTAAACATTTTCCTATAAATAAAATTTGATGAAGGGGAAAAATACCGTCTGTACCTGCTTTGTATTCTAGAATCTTAAGTTTTTACAGTAATAGCCAGAAAGAAGAGAGAGAGAACTTCTTTGGCAGAATTTTCCACAAAGTATAAAAAGCTTATTTTCTCATAATTTATTGGGTGTTTTCTATGTGCTGGGCATTGGGCAAGGAATGGTGAATTCAAAGATGAGCAAAAAACACACAGATCTTTATGGAGACTTTTGGTTTTTGAACATAATGAGGGATATAAATATTAATCATTTATAATCACACACATGATTGAGTACCAAGTAGCATAAATACAGTGAAGAAAATGATTTAAGAACCTTTGAGCCCTGTTTTCCCATCTGTAAAATGGTAATAAATATGTACGTAATAAAATTATGGAGATGATCAGCTAAGGTAAATATAAACCAATATAAAGTATTATTAAAATTTTAGTGTAGTTTTTGCATTTGTTTATATTTAATGCTGTGTTTTACCTGTGGAAACATACGACTAGATGATTCCTTACATAAAATATTTTGTTACTCAAATAATAGCTAAACTCTGTTACTTTGGGCCAATGTAAAGTTCAGAAGTAAATTGTACCCATTAAAGCATACCAACTATTGGTATCTATTCAACAGCAAGAATTAATTCCTTTGATAACATGTTTGGGGACAGGATTGAGAAAGTCAGATGCTGGGAAGTTTCTACTCAGACCTTGAACAGACAGACGCCAGTCAGGAACATGAATGGGAAATCTAGTTCTCTTTCAAATGTTCATGTTAATTTTTCCCCCTCTGTTTCTTTGGCAGCTTATTCTCTCCAGTTGGGAAGGAGGCTACAATTTACAGTGTCAAGATCTCACGAGTGCAGGGGAAGCCGATGTCCGGGTAAGTCTTGAGAAACTAATAGACCATCTGTAACCGTTTCTCCTAGAAAAGGAGAGGAGGCCTTATCCTTCCAGATATGAGGATGGGGCTGGGATTACATAAGAAAGGGAGTCATGTTCTGATAGAAATACTTGGTAACAAAAATGTTTTTCAAATGTCCAACCATGGGGGAGCTGATTGAATAAACCATGGCTTGTCCAGGAATGGTTCCTTTTGCAAAACGGAATGACGAAGATCTCTATACTGTTACAGAGTAATCTCTGGGACGTGATCTCAGATAAAAAACAAAACAAAACAACTTGCAGACCGTGTTTGTAATATAGTACCTTCTGTGTAAGAAGTGATATGAATATATGTGTGTGTGTTTGCTTTTAAAACAAACCATGGTAGAATAAACCAAAACCCAACAAAGTGTTTCCTTTTGGGTGAAGGAACTGGGCAGAGGTGGTAGGGATGGAATACTTGATTTTGGAACCATTAAGTGTTTTGCATTATTTGAAACAAAATTAATTTTAAAAAGAAAGCAAGGCAGCCTTCCTCCCAAAACTTGGAAACTCAAAGAAATGGATATACCCGTGTATTAAGTGACTTTAAAACATGGTGTTTTGACTGACCATCCCTCGGGGATGTATCTTAACAGTATTCAGTAATTTTTTTGATTGCTATTAATGAAAATACTGGTGTTGCTTCTCTGAGACTGTTAAAGGTACACTGTAGGATGAAGTTAAGTATTTAATAATCTTAATATCATTACAACTAGTATTTGAGACCTAGAAAAGAGATACCAATTAAAAAGTCAAGCGAACACTGATCATAGATTCAAATTGGAAATATCAGAATTAGCTTTATTCTTTCTAAAAACAAATGTGTTATTTAGCTCTATCTACAGAAAAGGCCTAGTTAGTCTCTGACAGCCCAGTGCAGTGAGGAGTGAATACCCAGATTGTGCTTTCTAAATATAATTTTCCACCAGAAGGGATTAGGATTCTTAGAGAATTGGCCAATTCCTGGGTTGGGGTGGGAAATGTGTATAAGCAAAATCGAGGACATCTGGTGACAGAAAGCACGTAAGCCGTCCAGAGTACCCAGGTCATGACAAAAAGACCGAGGAGCCATCTTGAAGGGACTCCCAGCGTGCAAGATGGGACAATTCAAAAAGAATACTGACTGGAATGGGTTGAAGCATACCAAGTTTAGTAAAAACCCATGAGTTTAAAATGATACTAAAAAACACATTGTTGCCTTCTGAAGGTTGCTAGAACACCAGCTCTTTCTAGGGGAAAAATGTTAAAGGGAAAGAATCAAACATTGATCTTTGCTTTTCACGTGTGAATTTCCAAATAGAGGAAGAGAGAGAGCTCTTCTCTATAGAAAAGTGCATAAGTAACGAGAGAACTAGAAAATCACCCTTTTGCAACTCCTAGTGAAATCATGGATCTGTTCGGCCGTCATCCATAAGGGATAAAACTGTCGGGTGAACGCTGAACGGAACTTCATAATAATTGGATTGGCTGTTAACACCTGAACTCTATCACGAACGCCAGCGGGACGACCAGAAATGATGTGCCCTCCCAGCGTGATGTGCCAGGAAGTACACAGAACCATGGACTCGGAGTTCCTGCCAAATTCCCTAAGTCTCAGTCCATCAAGCCTCTAAATCTCATTGCTTTGCTTCAGAAAATGTGGGGGATAGAGAAGTTAAATAACATTAGGAATTCACAATATTAGAAATTCCATGCAATAACTGATCTAGTTTTTGTGAAGAAAAGACGGGAAGAGGGGAAGCAAGGAAAGGGGACTGTTACTGATTAGAAAAGACTAACAAACTTTATCAAATCAGTGCAAGCTGGACCTTGGTTGCATCCAGATTTAAATCAGTTCTAAAAGGCCATTTTTAAGACACTTTGACCATGGATGAGGCTATTGGTAGATATTAAGGAGTCCCTGATTTTATTAGCTAATGACATCGTGGTTATGGTGAAGTAAAAGTTTCCTTCCTCTCTGTTGGTAGTTTTTATAGATGAAATGATACCTTGCCTTTGCTTAGAATATGCTGTACAGCCCCTAAAAATGTTGAGAAATAGAATTGATCCAACAAATTGGAACCATATTGAAAGTTTTGAAGTTTAGTGATAGGTAACACAGGTTCCTTATACTTCCTCTCCTTGATTGAAATTTTCTATAATGAAAAACATGCTTATTAGCAGAAACCTTTTAATGAAAATCTTTCATAGTAAGATGTACATTTCAGAATGCATTTTAAAAAACATCTTCAAAGCCGTAGTATGAAAAAAGTATATATAGAGGTTTCTCTGCACCCATTTTATTTCTAACGTATTATCACAGAGCAGCGCACTTTGGGCTACCATACAATTCTCTAAAGGTCATTGTCGTTTTACATTTGTGTTTGACTTAATATCTGTGAAGTTGGATCACACTCTCAAACATTAAGATGGAAACCAGCACACCTCCTTGTCTTCTTGGCAGGCAGACAATAGAGCATGATATTCTGACTTCAGAGTTCCTTTTACACACACTCTCCTCATACGTTTAAATGTTAGTGCTAAAAACACTGCCGTTAAAGTATTTCCCTGTGGCTGAGACTTGGAAGGGGCTCAGGAGGGAAAGTAGGAATCCCGACCCACCAACCACGTCAGTGAGGAGGGGGGAGCATCGTGATTTTTTTTTTTAAGCTTTTGCTTAAGTTCCAGTTGGCCAACATACAGTGTAATACTAGTTTCAGGTGTACAAGGTAGTGATTCAGCACTCCATATGACACCTGGAAGCACCTGAATTTTAAATCTTCCGAGGAGGAGGAGACACGAAAGCAGTAGTCGTCCACTTACAGACGGCTCCTGGGCTCCAGCACAGCTAAGAGACCAAACACGCACACAGTAGGGAACTAGAGAAAAAATTAAGACCTAGTGTAACGAGCAGCAGCGATCTGTTGAGTGCTGAGCCCTGAGCAGAGATGAGACAGCCCCTGCCTTGTGTGATTTGCCCTCGGTGGCATTAACCCTCACTACACAGCCATGGTTACTGAAAACGGAGGCATAAAGCAGTTTTCAAATGCAAAGGAAGACGTGGCTGATGAGGCCTGAGAAAAGGCGAGGCGAGGGTTAGGAGGAGGCATTTAAGGGTGTTCCTCAAGGATGCCAGGCGTGCGGTAGGAAAGGAGGGTGGACGCGGGGAGAAGGGTGCCAGGAGGCCCAGGGGCCCCGTTGGCGGCGAGTGCCGGAAGAGGGAGCAGACGGCCTTGATGGCGCCCGGTGCTGTGCTCAGAGAGGGTGCTGGAAATCCCTGCCGGCGCAGGCTGGAGAACAAGCCCGTGTTCGGCGGGTGCAGGGGAGTCACCTGATCAGATCACGCGTGTGGGAGGGGCAACTCCTTTTCACCAGAGTGGGGTGGATTGCTGGGAATGAGGAGAAGCTGGGGGCAGAGATGCCAGGAAGGTGCTTTGGTGATGGCCTGAGACAGAAACGCCCACTGGTGGAGTGCGGCATCACGCAGGTTGCTGGGGGGAGGGGGGCAGCCAGGGGGAGCGTTTTCATTCGCTCACCTTTTCTTTTTCCTGTTTTAACATCCTTACAGGTAGCCAAGGTGTTGTGGTGGTACTACTTCTCCAAGTCCATAGAGTTCCTGGACACAATTTTCTTTGTTTTGCGGAAAAAAACCAGTCAGATTACTTTTCTTCACGTATACCATCATGCCTCCATGTTTAACATCTGGTGGTGTGTTTTGAACTGGATACCTTGCGGGCAAAGTAAGTTCTGTTGTTGCTTTTTCAGTTCCGTGTCCTGGGTCTCGCGAGGCCTCTAGTGGGTGCCTGGGGTCGAATATTGTTGTACTGATGTGGCTCTGGAGACGGAAGAGGGAGGCACACGGCGCAGCACGCGGCTGCCCGCGTGGCCAGTTTCGCGTCTTTCGTTCCTGCAGAATGGGAGCGTTACCTTAATTTGTGAAAATACATTTTGTTTTCCCTCTGCGCCAAATGTCCGCGGGCCAGAAGCACGCACCCCAGCTGGAGTAATTTTACTCCAGCACCAGGGGCTGAAGGACTCCTGTCGAAACAAATCCAGCACCTTCCACTTGGTGGAGGTCATCACTCGGCTGTCCTATAGATTGGACTTTTTTTTTCCATTCTGAAAAGTTAAAGGCACATCTCTGTGTGGCTTCCAACGTTTGTTTTAACTGAGAGCTACAATGCGCCTTATATCACAGCCTCTTTACGTGTATGCACTTTGTGTGGAACAGAAATTTCAGGAGCTATTTACCCTAGCTCTGTGATGCACTTTGGGTTTTTGTTGTTGTCATTTCATTAATTCTGTTGCACTTTTTCAAAAAGCTGATGACCGCTCTCACTGCATTGATTTCATAGGCATTAATGGGTCCCTTCTGACCTGCAGTGCAGACAGTGGTACTTTCTATGTGATTGTCTTATATCCCCAGCTTTAAAAATCTTCTGTGAAAACTCAGAACAGGTAAAACTTAAGTCAAAATGATTTGGGGATCTTAGAGATATTTTTTAAATGTCAAGGAGAGGGGCACCTGCGTGGCTCAGTCGGTTCAGCGTCTGATCACAGTCTCACGGTTCATGGAATCGAGCCCCACGTCGGGCTCTGTGCTGACAGTGTGGAGCCTGCTTGGGATTCTCTCTCCCTCCCTCTCAAAATAAACTTAAAAAAATAAATAAAATGTCAAGGATATTTGGAATATATCTGTGACTATGAAGATGCAAATTAAAACCAGAGTGTGAAGCAGGAAAGTGCTGGAGATGAAGTGGTCAGAAAGATGTTTTTATTTTAACTCTCTCCTGGACCAAATCTGGCTTCTTGAGTTTAGTGATTAAAACTATGATAGACTTAATGCTGTCATCAATATACAGACCGTAATCAATATCAAGCAATTATCAAGTTTAAGTATTTTCTGTGATTGTCAACAATTTCATTACAAATCACTCAACATCTAAACCTCCTTCTCATGTAATCCCCGTGTAAAGACCTGGGATTCTTGTAGATGAAATGCTGTGTGTGTGACAATTCACAGTCAACCTAAAATATTATAAAAATCATGTCCCAGGGGCTCCTGGGTGGCTCAGTCAGCTGAGCATCCGACTTCAGCTCAGGTCATGATCTCACGGTCCGTGAGTTCGAGCCCCGCGTCGGGCTCTGTGCTGACAGCTTGGAGCCTGGAGCCTGCTTGGGATTCTGTGTCTCCCTCTCTCTCTGCCCCTCCCTACTCATGCTCTCTCTCTCTCAAAAATAAACATTAAAAAAAATTTTTTTTAATCATACCCCATTAATTCACAGTAATGAAAGCTCACGCGGTAAAGAAATACTGCTGTAACCGGTTATTCCAGCCAGTGTTTGCTGAGTACTTACTAGATTCTGGCGGTGGTGTCTGAGCCACCCAGACACCCCTGTTTCTCATTCATTGATTTGCATGGATCTAACCAGACCTTGATTTAGACTGGGAAAACCAGGCTACAGAGTTTAAATTCATTAGCCAGCGTAGGTACTGCACTTTTCAGTTTCCGTAGCATCATGCACTCAATCCCAGCACCGCCCAGAGAGCCAGTTACTGTCCTGCCCATTTCCCAGGTGACAGAATCAAAATTTACAAAGTAAAACTAATGTATCTAAGGGGACATAGCTGATAGGGGTCCTCTAGCCCCACAGCCCCTTCCACCGCAGGACTGAGAGCTCACAGCCCAGCCATCTGGATCCCAAAGTAACAGAGGTAGTGTTTGCTTTGCCGGGCACTGTCGTGAGCACTTTGTGTGTATCGACTGGTCTGATCCTCACGACAATGGGTTCCCGGTTTCCAACAAATAGACCCGTCTCTGACATCTCACCCCTTCAAACTAAATCCTTTTGCTTCTTAGCTGAGCAACATAGAACTTCTCTCTTTTTCCTTTGGTTTCCTGAAACACCATTTGCCCACGTTGACGGAAGCTACAGGGACTTCACGAAGGTGGCGGCAGGGGCAGGGGAGTGATAACGGCACAAGTTAGAACAGAAATGTCCTGCAATTGGATTTTAGATATTCCTTGTCCTAGAAGTCCATGAGATGGTCCAGCCACTGGGAAGCCTCACTGGCCAGTCCGTTCCGCGCCCCCCCCCCCCCCCCCCCCCCCCCCCCCCCCCCCCCCCCCCCCCCCCGCCCCATCCCGTCCCAGCCTTCTCTCTTGCTGCAGCTTCTCTCACCTTGCTCTAGCTCTCCTGGTTCTAGGTCCCTTTCAGGTAGAATTTATTAAATGTAAAGAGCAGCCTGATCTCCTGGACTCTTTAGCACCTTGTTAAGCCCTATACCGAAGGCCCTCTTTCCACAGTCGGAATGGCTCATCAGAGGCGTAGTGGAAGCAGAGACACTTCTCTTTCAAAGGAATTCTGCCACCGGTTTGAAGCTAACATTTCATTTTCTCCCTGATCACTCGATAGTAACAACAGCTTAAGGGACAGTAAAGCCTTTGCAAATCAGGAATTACCTGTTTGGTTGGCACTCTGACTGAAAAACCATCCAGTTTTGTCCTATCTCGGTGACTTTTGCGGAATCCTGGAGCAAGAGCTCGGAAACGAGGGTGAATTCACCGTGTGGATTGTGGCAGATGATAGTGCCACAGGTGTGACTCATCTTCAGCCGTGCTGCACAGGAAGAATCCGTCTCATTTGATGAAGAATGAGCAGTAATTTTTATCCCATACTTTTACAGGTTTCTTTGGACCCACACTGAACAGTTTTATCCACATTCTCATGTACTCCTATTATGGCCTTTCTGTATTTCCATCTATGCACAAGTATCTCTGGTGGAAGAAATACCTCACGCAGGCTCAGCTGGTATGTTATCCCTTCGTTCAGCTCCTCTCCCTGTGAAGCATCGAATATCCTCATGGAGGAAAGAAATCTGTCCCCATATGCAGAGGCTTTGCTACGTGTGAGGAGGCTGCCTGTTTTCCTCTAAAAAGAACCTTTTAAGGATTAAAATCTAGTGTGTCGAAATAAGCTACCTTATTCCTTGCTTCGAAGTGACAGTGATTTAACACAGACGTTAATTTTAAGATTCATTTTTATCTAAATAAGTGCAACTGCTACTCTTCCATGAGAAAACGAGCAGGCAATTAAATATACTGACTAGCATCGTTTCAAGCGAAATTTCTGGGTAGGATAGTGTGCTGCTTCCACAGTTTTGCTTTCTTCCTGCAAAACCTAGGGAGTAACAGGAGTCGACTTCTAAATGTTTTGTATTTCCAAATGGTGTGTTGCGTGGCTCGGCCTGGCCGCCCCCCAGTGACGCCCCCCACCCCCCACCCCCCCGCAGGTGCAGTTCGTGCTGACCATCACGCACACGCTGAGCGCGGTGGTGAAACCCTGCGGCTTCCCCTTCGGCTGTCTCATCTTCCAGTCGTCCTACATGCTCACCTTAGTCATCCTGTTCTTAAATTTTTACGTTCAGGTAAGTGAAATGTACATCTCCGGTGGCGGAACATAGCAGACTGCGCTCTCGCCTTACGTTGGTGTTTAATTTGCCCGAGGAAATCCACTAGCACGTGCTGGTCGGTGATGGAGGCTCGCAAAGTAGAGAGTGAAAACTAACTCTCCCCCCGCCCCCAAGCCCTCCCCTTGAAGGAAAACCACCATGAATAGCCTTAGTGGGCATTTTATTAAACATTTTTCAGTGCATGCATAAAAAGTTGAATGAAGTCACACATTGGTAACATGGGACAAAAACATGAAACAGGGTCTTATATCTGAATCCAGGGCCTCTATACAAATGGAGAAGAACTTAGGCTGAATGAATTGAATATTAAAAAATCATTTCTATATCAGCACGGTGATGTTGTAACCTCACGATCTGGAAAAAATTCTTTTAAGGCAAGCCACCGTGGAAAGGTCACATTGGCTTTTTCTTTACTAAATGTCATTTTCTTTTTAATCAACAATTTAAATGGAACAGGGCTCCAAAACACGACATCAAAGCAACTCCATTAATACAAAAACTGATGAAGGGGGAGCAGAGTGCAGGCCTCAGGTGGTGGTAGAGTTTAAATTGCTCTCCTTTGTGGGCTGGGGAAATAGAAAGTAAGCTTCATGAAAAAAAGATGAGAACATACATTTCTATCCCAAACAGTACTTTCCAAATTGAAATCAACTGTATTTCTTTCTTTAGACAATAAATGCTTCATTTTTTTTTTTAGTTGGCATTTGCTAAAGGTTAACCTGTGGTGGCTTCTCACAAAGTACAACTGTGGGAAAGTGAACTGCTGACAGTCTTTTCAGCGCCATTGGACTGGCTAGGCTTTGTCTTTTATAACAGATAGAAGTTTCCTTTGAGAATTTCTGAAGAAATAACCATTGATGGAACCAAACAAAGCCACCCAAAAAAAAAAAAAACCCCAAAAAAACAAAAACAACTCACACAGCAAAACTGACTGTTAACAGGAAAGCTAAGTGAGTCAACGTGGCACTTGGTGTTGAACCTTGAGGATGAGCAGGTAGCTGGCAGGGTGGGCAGTGGGCGTTCAAAACGTTGACCCTACTTTTTGGTTCACACAGTCTTACTCCTTTAGACTTGAGTATATAATTTCAGGCTTGACCCTTGTTAATATAGGTGCTTTAAAAAAAAAAAAAAGTAAAAATGAGACAAAATCAGGTATTTGGGCAGAATAAGAAGGATATGCCAAAAACCAAATCAAGCCAGAATCCTGGATACTGGTACTTTTAAGATAATAGCATTTTTTCCAACTTGAATTGGAAAGGATCTAATTTTTAGGAAATGCAAGTAAGCAACTAATGCAGAATAATTTGAATGCCAGTCCTGTAATACATAAATCCTAACCAGTGTAGAGAAGGTGACAGAAACAACCTTTCATTGGAATTCATTCACATTTGTCTCAGTTTTTACCCTATTTTTAGTTTTAACCATTAGCTTAAAAATTGTCAGACAAAAATTCTTCTTTGGTGGGGGGCCTGGGTGGCTCAGCCGGTTAAGCATCCGACTCTTGATTTCGGCTCAGGTCACAGGTCGTGAGTTCAAGCCCTGGGATTCTCTCTCTTTCCCTCCCTCTCTGCCCACCCCCCACCCCCACTTGTGCTCCCTCTCTCAAAATAGATAAACTAAAATTATTACCTGTCCAATACCCAATAAAATCATGAACTGTTTTAGATTATATGCCATGTCGAAGTCTTATTCAAGAATCCTTTTTTCCCTCTCTTCAAAATATATGTATCCAACAGACGTACCGAAAAAAGCCAATGAAGAAAAATACGCAAGAGCCACCTGCAGGGAAAGAAGTTAAGAATGGTTTCTCCAAAGCCTGCTTCACTGCAACTAATGGGGTAATAAACAAGAAAGCACAGTAAATGCCCAGTAATAGACAAAGCATATATAATAGCCTCACAGATTCGCTTGTTTTAAAGCAAAGACTGAATTGAAAGTTATATATGTTTTAGCATAAACTAATTTCTTTTGAGTTTATAAATCATTTGTACCCGGAATGTATTAATATATTGCTATTAGGTTAATCTGTTAACTGAATGCTTCCGTCAACATACGTGTCACCTCAGACACCGAATTCTGTAGACCTCAGAACTGGTGCGGCTCTGTCTCCTCCCCACAGACTGACCCCCTCACCAGAACCGTCGGTATAACGCCTTATACACGTACAAAGCCAGGAAACACGGAGCCTTGTTTTCCGAAGCCAGTCTTCAAATAAAAAGTTTTATTCAGATTGAAGTGTTTAAAACAAAATGTTAATTACCTTTCTAACTACAGGGTGTCTTAATCTATATTAAGCACTGCTCGCCAGTGTGTAATCAGTCCATTTGTTCCATTAGGACCTGACCCCAGAAAATATGAAAATGGATTTTAAACGGAAGACAGGAGAATCTAGCACAACTTTTCTCTCTTAAGGTAGAGTCTGTCAAATTCCTACACTAAGTCTCAACTTAGTGATATGGTAATGAAATTTGTATTTGATTTTGACAATTACTTTTCCTAAGAAGAAAAACTCTTCTGCCAAATCCTCATAGCTCAGGGGCTTCGGATAGGAGTAGTTTCTCACTTTTTAATTTGGTTTCCTTAACTATTCACATAGTCCTGTCAACCTCCCATGTTAAATTACCCTAGTTTAGGTTGTAAATGGACACCATGATCGGTTTTAAAAGCAGCATCTGAATCTGGCTGCCCGCTTTCGGATCAAGGAATTTTCCCTTCTCCTTGGAAGACTAAGCCACTGGAATATTTATGAATCAGAGCAGTTGGGGCAAAATAGACATTGAATTTGTCCACTCTTGTATTATCCCCAAATACCTGCTGTCACTCTTTTCAGGTTAAGTTTTTGAAAACAGGAAGAAAAAGAGGACTATGGAAAGATCCCAACATTGAGCCTTGGGCTGGTAATGAGCCACAGTGAAAAGTGCCAATTTGGCAAACCCGGTATATCCTACCCCTGCCCAGGTAACACGAGTTCTCCTGAGAACAGGCACAAAAGTGGAGGAAAACATATTTTTTTCCTCCCTAAATATTGGACTTTTACTACTAAATTGCATCAAGCATGGAAGCAATATGTTTTGAAGATGTGAGGAAGATTTATACCCTATGAAACTAAAAGACTTGCCAACTTTGACGCTTTTTCTTTCCGCTCTTCCCTTTAAAATAACTTTGAGGTCATAATGTTAAGGTCAAACACGGAAGTGCCAGAAAGGCATGCTCGCCATTACCCAGTGTTCAATCTGGGAGTGCCTCTCTGTCCTTTATCCCCCCCTTGCTTTCTAGTCTGAAAATTATTTCCCCCGTTTAAAAAAGAGCACGGACACCAATCCAGGTCTCCCACTTCCCGCTCGTGGCCGCTACCCTCTCAGGCCCAGCCTGCTTTGCAGAAGGTGACTGACCTTAGCTGGTCTTCGTGGGAAACGTGCTGTGCAGATGCGTGCATGTCACATGTGGGCACTTGGTCCATTTTTATCGAACAGACACCCACTTACTCTTGGATTTATTTTTCTAAGTTTTCTAAAGCTGATTTTTCTAGGGTGCCTAACCCCCACTTCCTCCCATCCCATCCTAACAGTGTTATGAGTATTGTCTTCTCCCAGAAACCTGTTTCAAAACAAGGGCTAGCTTCCAGGAGTTCTGTTATTTCTCCTCTGTAATAAAACGCGAGCTGGACTCCAGTGCAGTTTGGGGTCCCAAACAAGGGCTGAAATCGGTGACCAAAGTGCATTCCAGGTAAAAATGAGACACAGAGGGAAGCCAGACCTCACTGGTTGTTCATCGTAAGCAGCTTATTCTCAAATGTCAGTGAGGCCCTAAAGTCTCAGACTCTGCATCACACCTGCAGTTTTGGTGACCTCACGGACCCCATACTGGCAGAGCAAGGAGGGAAGCCAGCCTTCGGCAGAATGGCAAAGCCAGACAGCTGTAAGTACAAGGCAGTTCGAAACCTCTTCGATCGAAGGGAAAAACGTGGGTAGTTGGTACTTCCAAGCTCAACTTAGAGGCGTTAGGATGCTATTTTCCCACTGGGGCTTTCATTCTTGTGAAGCCGACCAAACACTTCTAGCCTTAAACCATTCAAGGGCTGATACAAGAGCTATGAAGTCTTAGCCACAAAAACTGAATCAGGTAAATATTTTAACCTATCTTTAAGCGTTGGAATTAAAAAAAAAAAAAAAGTCTACATTTAATGTGATTTTCCTAGAACCAGGAAAAAAACTCTCTAATCTGTTAAAAACTTTTGTGCCTGAATTTCCTTTTACTCATTAGAATGAAAATATTTAATACTATAAGCACATGTTACAAATTCAATTTTTTTAAACAAAATGGAATGATAAATGGAAATGAGACATTTTCAACCCATCAAAATTATACATTGAACCAGTTAGGCTTATTGAAAGATAAGGTCCTCCCTATCCCCGTCAGAGGTATCTATTTTTATTGGTAAGGAAAAATGATATTTACTGTGATGGGCAGAACCGCACTTTGTAAGAGACCATTCTGATACTTCCGTATCATTTTATGATGTTTCTAGAGTCTTCCTTATTTGGAAAATAAGGATATCACTTTTTTGTTTTCTTTTGAAAGTACTTGAGAACATAATATCATGATTGGGGTGGACAGGGAAGCAGGAGAAGCCATTTTTCTTTGTAGACAGATAAAAAGCATTCTGTATGTTGTATAATAAATTTTTACACTAAAGCAAAGCATGTTGAGATTATTCTTATTTGGTTGCAAGAAGTTAAAACGTGTGCCTGCGTGGTATTCCAAATGACCAATTTTACTCAGGAATTTTTTTTTTAATAAAGGGATATTTTAGTAATTAATTTTAGACATTTAATTCATTTCAATAAAAAGTGCACGGCCTTTTATGTAGCATTATTAGTATATGAATACTATGTAAAACTATTTCAGAAAATGGTCATTACAAGAAAAACGTAGGACCAATTAGAGGAGTAGAGGCTATAATGGCTATTATAAATTTAATGGTTTAATATAATGGTTATATTAAATTTACTGTGTGGGAGCACCAGCTTGGTTGAGGGGACGATGTTAGGCAGAAACACCATACAGTGCTCTGGAGCCTCTGACCATCACTCTGTAGAGTGCCCAGACCAGCAGAGAGGGTGCTGCTTCCGCTCAGGAGTGGGATGTGAGCTTTGACCATGGGGAAGCCCAGGAAAGACACGTCAGTCAAGGTCATGGGGCAGGATCACCGATGGGTGGTGCATCAATGGAGAGTTTTGAATGGTTACATCAAAGAGAACAAGACAGGCCCAAAGGCCATGCTCAAAGTCTGTTTACGAAATGGCTTAAATTCCTGGATGGTAACAGGGATGGGGCAGGGGTGGGAGAAAGGGTACGAGAGGTGGCAAGAAGGGGAGAAGGTTCAGTTTCGCTATCTGAACGGGGACCCGAGCTTTTGGGGGGGGGAGGGAGAGGACATTTTAAAAAGTTTCCTTGTAACCTACTGAGGCTTCATTTTAAACAGTGGGTGGAACCAATTCACGTGTAAAAAGAAACCTTTTTGTCTCTGTGGCAAGGCCTAATAATTCGTTGCAGAGTGAAAGAGCTGCCTGACACGTGGGAAGCATTCACCTAAACACATTTCCTAGTTTCTGTATACAAAGAAGATTGCCATGTGTTTTTATTACAGCAGGCTTTCTTCAAAATCAGCTACGTTCACATACTTAGGGGACGGCTGTCTTCCCAGGCAAAGAGGCACTCGTACAAGACTACGGTCACCTAAGATATCCCTTCACCTTCTTCACCTTCAGTCATGGAGAAGAGGAAACGTGATCAACGTGTAGGTCATTTTGCCCTGTTAAAGCGTGTAGAGGGGGACACTGGAATAAGAGCAGGAGGGCGCAAATCTGAAATTTGTACCCTCATCAGGCAGCTTGTCGGCGCAGGTCATCGTGGATCTGCGGAGCAGCTCACGGGGAGCCCTCGAGGAAGGTGTCTGTGGCCAGGTCACGTTCGGCAGCCCAGGTGAGGCAGACCTCTGCTCCCTCCGTGCACTTGAAGCTCGTGGCACCGACCTGTGCCGTTTGCAGGCACTGCCGTCTGTAGCCCGGAGATGGGCCCGTGAGCTTGTTTTTGCCACAGTTACCATCTGCCTTCGGTCAACAAACCTAGCCGCCCCCCGAAAGGCACGTGGGTCTGTGACTCCCAAGCATTGAACAACAAAAGGCAAGGTTTTGCAGCGTTGCCTGGGATAATGTCACGTACGAAGAGGGAAATGAACTTCACACCTGCTAGTAACGAATAGAAGTTGCACATTTCTCTGAAAGATTTAAGCACTCTGCCTGGGCTAGTCCATGTAAAACTGGCCCTTATGTTTTTAATGCTAGTTTAGTCCTACGGGATCTGATAAACTCTGGAAATAGGAATGTTCACTTAAATATTTGTCAAATCTACCTCACCCAGTGCTGCGTATTACACTAGAGGTATAGAGGCACCCCAGGTGAAATCCTGCCCGTAGCCTTCATAGTCTGGTTAAGTAGATGGAGAAATGTTTAGTTAGAAAATAATGGATGCGTTAAAAATAGTGGGGGCACCTGGGTGGCTCAGTCGGTTAAGTGTCCGACTCTTGGTTTCTGCCCAGGTCACGATCGCGCAGTTCGTGTGTCCGAGCCCCACATCAGGCTCTGCGCTGACCGTGGGGAGCCTGTTTGGGATTCTCTCCCTCCCTCTCTGCCCTTCCCACACACTCTCTCCAAAATAAACTTAAAAACAACAGCTTACCAAGAAAACTTTCCTAAAGGAGGCAATAATGCCTGAGCTTAGTTTTTGATGGATGGGAAATTGTCCATATAGACAAGGAAGGGACCTTGTTCAAAAAAATCCCAGAAGTTAAACACCTAGGATTCCAATGGATTCCATTACTTGAACAAGTATTTGAATGCCTATGTGCCAAGCATTGTCCCAGGATTTGGAATAAAATGGTAAAAAGAACAGACGAGCAGTCTGCTCTTAAGGAGCTCATGCCTAGTGGGCACCTTCTAGAGGGAAAACAAGCAGTTACCACGCTCTGTAAGATGTGCTATTCACATTAACAAACATGCACTGGGGTCAAGAAGCCTTTGTGCCTAAAACAGGGAGAGGAGAAAGCTGGCCCCGCCAGAGACTTAGCCAGAAACGAAGGCCTAAGAAGCACTGAGAGAGGAGGAAGTAGTGTCCCAGAGGCCAAGAGAATATTTAAACAGACTCAGATGCTGCAAGGTTATCAGCTGGGCAAATGCTGGGGGAAAAAAAAAGGGCATTAGGTTTGGTCAATGGGAGGCAATTAGCAGATTTCAGGGGCTTTAGAGTTAATGAGAAGCCCTCCCCGCCCACCCCCCGCCAATCAAGCCATATAAAAATAATGTCTAAGAGTTAGAAACAGGAAGGGAGAGCTCTAGCTGCTAAAAGAGAGTGAAGCTGAGTGAGCTGCAGTTAGAGGGCAAGTCCAATGACCTCGCAGCTTGAGGGGAAGGATCGGGCAGTCAGGCCCCTCCCTTTGTTCCCACAGGAAAACTACTCAGAGTCCACTGCTGCATCACCTGAGAGCCATCGATGGCCTTGAACGGATGCTACACAGAAAGCAGCCCAGGGGCGTCCTGCCCTTGGGCAACGCTTGGCCTCACTCTCTTTGCCACAGGAAGGGTGAGAAGGAGCCAAGGGGTGGGAGAGATACGAAGACGGGAGGGGCACCCACAGAGCCCAACTTGTGTCTCAAACTGCAAAGTCCAGTTCAAGATGGCAACGTAGGAAGAGTCTGAACTCGCCTCCCCCACAGAACACACCAAATCACATCTATTAATTCAACAGTTTCTCCTGAAGAACGATCGAGGGCTGACCGAACGGCTACTAAACAACCCCAGGCAAAGAAACCAGCAAGAGAGACAGAGACGTGGTAACAAAGGGAACCCCCACTCCCAACTCTGTGACCAGCAGTGGGGAGGGACAGTACTGAGAAATCAGGAACAGATCCCTCTCTGTCCTTGGGCACAGAAAAAAACCCAAGGCTTAAGAGAGCAACACTAGAACTCTGCCAAGCAGCAGGGTCACCGCAAGAACGCTCTCCAGGTCAGAGGGACCAGAGAATGACACAGTTTACGTTGCCACCCTACCTTGGGAACTTGGACTGGAACAGAGTCCAGCCACCATGGCGAGCAGGTCTGGTTGTTTCGGTGGGCTTGTGACCTCAGCGAACCCAGGGTCCACAAGCCCACGCCAGCCCTAGACACGCTGGAACACAGAAAAAGAACCATGGTTTAAAAGGGCAGAGGAACTATGGGAACCCTCTCCCTTCCATCTGAAGGGCCCAGACTGGAGCAGGTCTGGCTGCCCACAAGGTGTGGGTTCAAGATGCCATATTGGAGGGCCCTGGTACCATAACTGAAGCCCACAGGAGCCCTGGCCATGATGGTGCACAGAAAATAAAAAGCCAAGGTTTACAAGGGCTGAGGAACTGTGGGAAGGTTCTCTTCCCCTCCACCTTCAAAGTCCAGATGAGAACAGGGTCCGGCTCATGGTGAGTGTGCCACCTCAGTAAGCCCAGTGTTCACAAGCCCACACCAGCTCCCCTGTGGTGCTGGGGCACAGAAGACACAAGCTATGGTTTTGTGGGATTTTTATTTCTTTTCCTTTTAAAAATTTGTCAGGTCTTGTTTGTATTTTTTTCTTTTTGGTCTTTTTCTTTTTTCTTTTAGTTTACTCTTTTTAAAATTTCATTGTTTTTTCCCTTTATTCTTTCTGTAAAAAGCCATGGTTTAAGAGAGTAGCTGGTGTATCCAGCCACAGCTCCAGCCATCCAGCAGAAGTCACAAAGCACACACAGTCTACGTAGGGAACACCATACAGGGGACCACTCCTTCAACTGTAGGAGAAGTAGCCGTTTTGCTTAGTCCACAGTAAAAAGCACAAAAAGTCAAGCAAAATGGGGAAACAGAGAAATATACTTAAAAAAAAAAAAAACTCAGAAAAAGGACCAAATGAAACAGATCA